TTTCCCTAGTAATTTAAATCACTTTCTTAGTATTTAAAAATTTTCTAGTCAGTCCATATTAGACAACTGCCTAATACATTTATACTTAATATATTTCCTTGACATTGTTCTTTAGCCTTTCATTTATAAACTAGAGGCCCAGTGCACGAAATTCATGCATGGGGGTGGCATCCCCTCAGCCCAGCCTGCACCTTCTCCAATCTGGGACTCCTTGGGGGACATCCCTCTCACAATCCTGGACCACTGGCTCCTAATTGCTCACCTGCCTGCCAGCCTGGTCACCCCCAACTGCACCCCCCCACCAGCCTGGTTGACTCTAACTGCCCCCTCTTCTGGTCTGCTCACCCCCAACTTTCCCCCTCTGCTGGCCCTGTCATCCCTCATTAACCCTCCTGCCTGCCTGGTCATAGGCAGCCATCTTCTGAGGGTGTGATGGTTAATTTGCATATTACCTTTTTATTATATAAGATACACACACACACACATATGTACATATATATTTAGATTAATTTATATGCATTTTTCTTTCTAGCATGGTGATCATGTATCTGTGTAGTACTTATCAGAATAAAAATATGCATGAATACATACATATCATAGGTATAGTGCAGGAGCATTTTCATTACACCTTTGCTTTTCCTATTACACTTAATAACAGTAATAAAGGCATTACATTATTTGGCAAATAATTGCTCAGCCTTCAAAGAAAATACATGGATACTGTGATGAAACATATTGAAAATTGCAATTAGTCACTCTGACTTGAAATCTTTCTAATCCACCTTCTATTGACCTTTATATAAAATCATTTCCTCTGAAATTCTGTTTTAATTTTTATTTAAATTTCAAGGTCATGATTTTAATCCAATTCAGACTAGTTTGGGGCATTTATTTTTTTGTTTTTGTTTTGTTTTTAACCAAGACAAATGAAAAGCAACGATAAGAGCTGGGCATTGGCTCACCAGAATCTTGGCTCACCAGCATCATGTGTGAATAACCTGACATCACACAGAGCTCCTCATCTGTCCTCCCTGTTAAGCTCTGTCATTTAATTAGTAATAACAATAATGATGATAGTACATAGTATTTACAGAATGCTTGCTATTGTACTGTGTATTTGAATCTGAACCACAAAAGGATGCAAGATCCCTTCTTATTTCAGATGAGGAAACTGCAGGGACAAAAAGTCACACTCAAGTTGACACAGCTCCTCCAGTACCACATGACTAGTATTGGGACTTCTGCATAATGGGAAGCTGATAAACTGTGGCTGGGTTAAACATAGAGTACATGAATGCATAAAATTACTTTTTAAATGTAAAACCTCCTAGAGGATGCAGTTGTGGAAACCAACAAACTTGTCATTAGTAGCTAAAGATGATATGGATGGAAATTGGCTAAGAGATGTAGCACTCATAAAGATTTTACCATTTGGAGAAATTTCTTGATCAAGCCTAGGGGAAACTGGGCATTTACATGAACAGGAAGGAAGAGGCAATTTGATTCACAGTCGTTTTAATATTGGTGTGACAAGACCCTTTGTCTTATAATGTTGGTATAACACAGCCCCATGACTTTCTGAAGTATTTGTTTTATCATTGTAACTTTACGAATATTTAATGATAAATATATTTCTACGCAATTTAGTTCAGAGATTATTATTTTAAAAATGCGGATATTGGAAAATTGCTCATTTAAGTTGTGTTTTTCTTATTCTAAGTATTTAGAGATTTTAAATGTGTAAAAATATTGATTTTGCACGAATACATCAATAGAAGCTTAAATACTGGTATGTATGCATGTTAATGATAATGAAAATGTTCTATAGTTTTGAGTCCACATAGGTAATATTGTACAAATGAGGAAAAGCACAATTATGTACTCTAATAAAGCATAAAACAAAAAACAATAAATAAATAAATAAATAAATACACCATATTGCTAAGTTATGGCAGCAAAAGCAATGTCTAAAAAAATTATTCACTTTGTAAAACTTTAAGATACAAAAAATATATGTGTCAATTATATAAGACTTCACAGAATTTCAGGTTTGGGGTTACCACAGAGATCATATTTACATCTTCTAACTTTTAGTAAAAATCCCCTCAATGCCATTGTTAACATTTTCAGATTTGAGGATTAATTGCCATTCATTTTAGAAATATAATTATTGCTATTACTGAAATGGATGGCACCAGTGGGATTATGTGAGAATAAAATGAATTCAGTTTTGTATTTTCCCACTGAAGCATAAATTATTCACTGGTACTAGTCACTGATTCCTCCTTTTCTCTTACCTAAGGAACTCTCATTTCAAGATCTCTACCCTTTGAGCCTGAATTTTACTCCTAGCCCAATAAATAAAGAGCCCTAGAGATCTAAGGG